TCCGTCTGGAAAACATGATTATTTTTCAAAGAAGTATAGAAGAAAAGACAGAAACAGATAGATCCAGATATTTCCAGTTTCTGTCCTTCAGTTCTTAGGTAACACTCTACTTCTCTTTACACTATGTCCTGGTGAAAGTTGGAAAGATTTGGTGGGAGATGTAAGAAATCATGATATACGCCACATCTTACCAGTCCACAGAACTGCTATATGATGATAACCAAAGCTGGACTGCCCTCTAGTGGCTCTTGAAAAATGACTCCCGTGCAAGGCATCATTTTCTGATCTCTTTATGGCAGTGGGTGGACTTTTTCCATCAAGATCACCCAAACCTTGTTGAGACTCAACTCCAAAGCTGGTCTGGTGTTTTTGCAAAGACCACCCCTGCCCCATCCCATATATCAGTGGTCCCCAACTTTGGGCCTCCAGATGTTCTTGGACTACAACTCCCAGAAGCCTTCACCACCACCTCTGCTGGCCAGGATTTCTGGGAGTTGAAGTCCAAGAACATCTGGAGGCCCAAGGTTGGGGGACCACTGCCATACATGACTCAGAAGAGAGGAAAGAATGCCAGGCAAAGCCATCGGACCTGTCTGTGGTCTTCTTGGCAGCTTCTGAAAGAGGAAGAGAGTGGGTTAGACAGATCTGGAATGCCATCTCATCATAGAGAGGTGGCTGTAAGCTATAACAACCACAGGGCTTTCTCAGATCAAACGCAAAAGCATTCCTGGGGAGAATCTAGAAGGAAGAGCATGGCTCGGTTTTAAAAAAATGATATATCACTCCCATGAGAGAAAAGTCTTTCATCTCCATCGCTAGCCAGACTCCTAACTTAATTCCAAACACTCTCATGGAATGGACACTCTCATGTCTTCCAAACACAAGATTATGAAAGCTTTTCCCTCACTGTGAAATATGGCAGTGTGTCATTCATCATCATGGGCATCCCTCAGTCTCAAAAGACTACGGTAACATGCTCTGAATCGAGGAACATTCTCTGAATCGAGGAGTGTGCTCTCCAGACCATGAAGCCTGGTAAAGTAATATGGAGGATAGGCTGTTACCCAAGCAGCAGATCCCCCCTCTCCACATTGCTGAAATGGTCCAATGGAGAGGCAAGAGCCAATACAACTGGTTCCAGCAACGTCACAGGAGTTGGCAGAACAACACGAACTGCCTTCGGGACTCCAGCGCCGGATTTTGCCTCGAGGTTAACTCCTGAAGCCTTTTCCATGAGTGGATATAGCTGCAAGGCAGTGGAGGTTTCAAATCGGAGTTTTCCTTCTCCTAGATGGGTTGCCTTCCTGGCAATATCTGTGTCATTCAGATATGTTTTATTTACCCTATAAATGAAGGTCATTCTGGGCAAAATGAGATGGCATGCTATGTATGAACAACACCCCAAATTGCAGAATCAGTGCAAACAATTGTTGTGCTGTGTATGAACAACAAATTGCAGAATCAGTGCAAACAATTGTTCCAGTGCAGTCAAAACCCAGGTCACATGCTGAGTTGTACACCCAGGAAGGTGAGAGATGGGCATTAGTTTGAGAAATTGAGGAGAGTTTCCCTGAGCCCATGGACCACCAGAAAGATAAAGAAGCAGGTTCAAGACCCCACCTAGTCCAGAGTTCTGTTGGAAGCTAAAAAGGACAAACTTAGGCTGCCTCAATGCAGACACATCATGACTAGACTGGACAAGACAATAATGTTAAGAGAAGTTGAAGGTGGTAGGAAAAGGAGGAGATTTAACATGAAATAGATTGGCTTAATGGGAGAAGGTATGCAATGCCTCAAACAAGGCTGTTCATGAGAAGCTCTTTCAGAGGTCATTAGTTCACAGAATTGCCGTCAGTCAAACGTGACTCGACAACATGTCTTGCACTTACTCATGCTCACACGTACACACAGAGAGGCAGTTGGTTTCCTAAGGCATCAGCTGGGCCCTCATCATAATTCAAAAGGGATTTCGTTTCAAGTGAACGAGAGCCCAGAATTGTCGTGCAACGCTGTCGTCCTTCATAGTTTTCCGTATTCTTCTACTCGTTCCTTAACAGTGTACACCAGACTCAGAATTTCTGAATGAGCTTGTTTTCTCCCCTCCAGGCTCACTCCTTGTTCTTGTCTACGCCTAGTACGTCTTCGTCATGCCTATTAGACTGTGAGCCTGCAGGCATGTCTTTTCAGAACTGTGCTCAGAAATCTGCAGGTGATTTAACACCGCCGGGGATAACGGTGAGGAGACTGGTGGTAATAAGAGCACTAGAGTGTATTCTTGAGTGTCTGAAATGTTCGAGTACTGCAGGCACATCACTTAAGACAGTGGCTCCCAACCTTGGGCTCCCAGATGTTCTTGGGGTGCAACTCCTAGAAATTCTGGTCAGCAGGCCTGCGGTGAAGGCTATGGGGAGAGTGCATCGAGGATCATCTGGGGTACAAGACTGCGAATCACCAACATTGATCATTCCCATAATGCAGGTCCAGGTTGTAGAGGGTGGATTGAATGCTTTACTAAACCCATATCCAAGAAACATAAAAAAATTAAGGAGCCAGGGCATCGTAGAGGCAAATAGATTTATTCCAAAGTCTTACAACTTGTTGTCTCTTGCAGTAAGGCACACTGGAGTAGAGCCATGGACACAGCACGAATTTGGCAATTCAACTCAATGGGCTTACTCTAGTTAAGACTTACTGTCACGTAGTTAGCCATAACTAGAGTAGGCCTATTTGAATGTGTGGAGCTGACGGAGGAGTTGACCCAACAAATTCCCCACTGATTCAAATGCCCCTACTCTAGTGCAACTTAAAGGATTTCAGCCAGTGTGTCCTTCTGTTTTTCATCTTTTCCTTCTTTGTTGTCTGGGCCACGTTGAAAACTATTATTAAATCTTGCAAGGTTGAGCAGTGGTGTGCCTGCTCCCCCCTGGGGAGTTTAAATTGAGAGGTGTTAACAAGGTGGATAAATAGGTACCACCACGGTGGGAAGGTAACGGCGGTTCCTGTGTCTAGTCGCGTTGGCCACGTGACCATGGAAACTGTCTACGGACAAACGCTGGCTCTACGGCTTGGAGATGGGGATGAGCACCGCGCCCTTGAGTTGGGCACGACTGGACTGAATGTCAAGGGGAACCTTTAGCTAACAAGGTATGAGTAACAGATTAGAAGAACAGGGTCCAAAGGGGGCAGAGGAGAAATATTGGTGCTTTTCTGGATTAGATAGAGGGCAGGTCCAGGAGGCATTAATAATTGCTGAGTCATTTCATAAACTTTTTAAAAGTTCCATGTGTAACTACAAATTATTTTTCTAAACTAAGTTTGGCCTGTCTTAAGTTTTGCATCCAGAGTTAAAGGAAGAGCATTGAATTCTGTTAAGTTTCCCACCAGTTCTCTCCATACTGGTTGACATTGATGGGAGTTATTACACCAACCGTATTGCTGCCCACCTTGTGCGGTGTTGATGCCTTAGGTCATTCCTAAAATAGGTAAATTCAGCTTTTTATCAGGAAAAAAAACAGAAGGGATGGAGTTGCTTCCCAAATCTGGATAACCAGACGGAGCTGTTCCGTCAAGCTGAGAAAGCGGAAAACAACCCAAAGGCCTGGATTCTTTACATCCTTATTCCAAAAGTGGTTAGACGAATAAAACTAAGGGTTGATTTCAAACAATCAAGCCTTAGCTCTGTAGATAGCTCAATACAGTGGTGCCTCACTTAATGAGCACTTCGTTTAACGATGAATCCGCATAGTGATGTTTTTTTGCGACCGCAAAAGCGATCGCATTGCGATGTTTTAAATGGTAAAACATCACTTTGTGATGATCAATGTTTTGCTTACTGATTATCGCATAGCGATGTTTTTAGAACAGCTTATTGGCGGTTCCAAAATGGCCACCGGGTAATTAAAATGGCCACCTGCTGTGTTTTCGTGCTCATTCCTCGCTTACCGGGCAGCAAAAATGGCAGCCATATGGAGGATTTTCGCAGAACGGTGAGTTTTTTGCCCATAGGAACGTATTAAAAGTGTTTTAATGCATTCCTATGGGCTTTTTTGTTCCGTATAGCGACAAATCCACATAGCGACGATTTCTCCGGAAAGGATGATCGTCGCTATGTGGGGCACCACTGTAGTTCCATGTCTATGTAAACAGACCATTGCCACATTGCTTTTTGTCTGTATTCTTGAATGAAATACTCGAGAGAGTGTCGGGTAGGGCAGGATCTGTTCTCAATCAATAGAGAGTGCAGGACACGCAACAATGGGCTGAAGTTACAGGAAGCCAGATTTTGGTTGAATATCAGGAAAAACATCCTAAGTGTTAGAGCAGTACAAGAGCAGAACACATCATCTTGGATGCTGGAGGCATTCAAGCGAAACTTAGGCAACCACCTGGCTCCATATCGTTTGACTTGAATTCCGGTATTGAGCAGAGGATTGGACTTGATCACCTTGTAGGCCCCTTCCAACTTCACTTTTCTGTGATTCATTGATTAACTGTCTTCCATATCATGGGCCATCCGTTCATTTCAAACCAGCACTTCACCAAAGACATCTTGTGGAAATGTGTGATTCTTTCAAGTTCAGAGTCATGAAAGTCCTCTCAGCGTGATCTCACAGCTGATTCTAACACAAGAGACCCTGGGCTGTGTGGGTTTTTTTTTTATCACCCCAGACATGAAATTGAGCATGCTTTTTAAAACATTTTCCCTAAATCGTATATACTCCTCCGTGTTTTCGTTCATTCTATTTTCTGTGCATTCCCTCCTTGACTTTGCCTGAATTTATAGATCTGTGCCCGTTCCATGCGCATTGCTTTAAAAATACAGGTTTCCACTCTGTTCCAAGGCTTGCACCCTGCATAAGAGGGAGCAATTTTGTGAATTTCTTTGTCATCTTTAAACAAAATACCTCTGCAAATACAAATGCACACACTGAGATGGCAGAGGACCTTAGGAACACCTTGGCGGATTAATGCACAGCACGATGTGATAGAATGCAGCAGGAACTTTATTGAAAACATGAGACATGAGTGGGCAATAGGATGGAAGTAAAACACAAAGGTAAGTAGCAAGACAAGAGGTTACAACAGAATTCTGGTGACTCGTTTTTCTTACATCAAGAATTTCAGAAGCCGAGATGGGAAAGGAGAGGAAAGGAAAGACGGCGAAGTTCACAGAGAAAGTCCAGGCTTCAGGAATGGTCCTTAAGCTCAGCTTCTCCGAAGGCAGGAAGAAAATAATCATTCAGCAATGGGTCCGTATCATCTTGGAACATCCAGGGGTCTTCCGAGTATCACACAGGTTTCGCTGGTCTAGACGCACACGTTGCCATAGGGCTACTGGCAGATGCTTCCACGTCGTCCGAAAATGCTACCCCTCCTATTGCACAAGCCCCTGGAACCAAGGAACCCAGAACTGAGCCCCCCATATCCGAGAAGGCCACCCCTCCCATGGTTGTAGCCACTGGAACCAAGGAGCCCAGAACCGAATCCCCCATATCCCAAGCCTTGCCCATAACCGGGCACAGCACAGGGAGAGTAGCCTCCGACCTCAACGCCTTCAGGGTTTGCAGACAAGATCATCCCTGGCATGACTACAGTGGAAGGAGGAGGAACGAGTGTGACCTGACTTCCTCGGAGCTGGACGATGCAATCAACTGGGACCCCTTGAAGCTCTCCGAGACTAGCGGCGGAGACGGAGCCCCCGTAGCCGCTGCCAATGGAACCCAAGCCCCCAAGGCCTAAGGCGCCCCCGAAGCCCACGTTCTCGGATCCAAAGCCAACGCTGGGGGTGGCAGCGCAGGAAGGGATGGCGTTGCTTGGTCCACAGATAGGCATGGCTGAGCGAGGGAGGTCAATCTGAAACACAAAATCGGAGAACTGAATTGGGTGAGGAAGGTGGAAAGGCTACAGTTAGAGAAGGATCGCAAGAAGTGTGATGGAAACGGTACCAAAGGAAGAGAACCAATAATCCTTCAACCGACCAAAGGGGCCGCAAAGAACAACAGCTTAATTCAGGAACAACCAGTCATTAAAAATTCCCTTGGAGGGAAGAAATAGGAATGAGCACCTGAACCACATCTGAATATACAAAAGATCAAGCCAAACATGGCATGGGGTGTGTGCTCAAAGTTGGGCTGGGTGAAATGAACTGGGTGGAAAGCCTACACTTAGGGAATGTGCACAAAAGATGCAATGTAAATAGCAGCAAAGTAAGAGAACCAGTACTGCAATAACCGACCAAAAGGGTTGAAAGGAAAAACACCTTAATTCAGGAACAACATACAAAGTCTAGTTTCCCAGATGTTGTAGGATTTTAGCTACTAGAATCATTTGCTCGCATGGCCAGTGGTAAGAGCTTAAGGGAGTTTGCTGACCAGGAATATCTTTAGAGCTATGCTGCAACAACTGCTGTATTAGACTGCAGCATGTTGAGGATCAGACAGCACTCCTCCTCCAAGGAAAAGTACATCAGATCATTCAAGGCTATGCGAAATCCCCCATAACTGCTTTTGAATCTTCAGACCCCCTATTCCCAACCTTGAGGTTCAATTATTCTAATAGCAGATTTTGTCTGCCCATGAATCTTCTTTTGCCGTCTCTAACTTCCTCTTCTATTGTATTTTGTACTGTTCCGTTCTATTTTACTTTAATTTTTTAATATTTTTAATAGTTTAATATCTTACCATTCTTTCATTTTTGGCATTTGTCATTTGCATCACAAAATAATTTGCTGAGTTCTTTTTTTTTTTAAAGGAACCGACCCTTAGCCCATACCTACCCTAATTTCTTCCAATTAATTGAAAATGTCCAAGAAAAACAGAAGACTGAGAGAAGAATGTCAATGTATCCTGAAACCACTTTTACTGGTTTCCTTTTCTAAGCCAGACAAATTTCTTGAAGGGCACAAGCAAGATCTTGCTCCATGTTCGAAGAATGAAAAGCCCAAGCTCTCCTGGATACTCAAAACACAGAGCATCACATAAAATACCCAGATTTCTCTCTTTCAGAACTGCCAGTTGGCTTGTTCCTCTTCCCAGGCAGCCTGTGTGGATCCAAAAACTGCCAGCTCTCCTGAAAACTCTAAACAGAGAGATTCTGGGATGGAATTCATGTTCCTTGGGACAAAAGGCAACACAAAGACTGCCCGGCCCACCAAAGTTGCTCACTCCAACTGCAAGGACAGTAGCCTTACTCATCTTTTTCCTCCCTGCTTTTGTCATAGCTTTATATTTTATAGAAGAAAGATCCATCTAGCTGTTCCCTCATGTGAAGTTTTGAGGAGTATGGAAATGTCCCAAGAAAAATTGACTTACCTGCTCCTGAGAGAAGGTGAAGAGAAGAGACAAGAGCCGGCTGAAGCTGTTGGAGCTGCAGAGAGAGGGCCAGGCTTTTATACAGTTCTTGTAATGTCCTCTGGGACTAAGATGTCATCTCTCTTTGCTAACTCTGCTTAATTACTGATAATTCTCCTTTCGTGTGCAGAATTCCTGCGCTTGTGGTTATCATCTTGCTACATAATAGCTTCCCTGTCATTGTCAGAATGTTGCTGACCTTGAGGCAACCCACTAAATTTCATTTGCTCTTTTAAAAGGCCACACACACACACAAGCTCGAAACAGCTGATCACCATTATCTTCATTATGAACATTGTGACCAGCATCAAGAACTTGAGGTCATCATCACATCTGTTGCACAAGCATTGGAGTTTCTAGGACACCATCTTGTGTACATCATGTGCTAAGCCTGCCCACCTATGAATTCAAGAACAGACAGATGCCTACTGGGTTGTCATAAAGAAATATGGTTACCCCAAGATATTTTGGTGCTCTGGTTGGTCCATACTGGACATCTCCTTATTCCATCTACAGATGGATTATTTCCTTACTTATATTGGGGGGGCAATAACCTAGATTGAGATTTGTACATCCTCTTCTGTATCTCATTTTTAACTTCCTCTAAAGTTTCCAGTTGAGAACAGAGATTTGCCATGGATTTGACCAAACCCTCAACCAAATCAGGATGATTTCTGCCTAGTTTTTGGCCTGTGGCTTTAAATAAGAATGTGGAACTCACTGATATATGAAAATAAAGATCACTGATGACTTATCTGATATCAGTTTTTGCTTGGTCAACTTCCCTGATAGACAGAGGGAATGCTAGGACATAGTATATCTTGACATCATCAAATATTTTACTAATATTTCTGAATTATAAATACTTTGAGGAAGTAGATGCGATGATCTCTACATTTATTTGGCAAGTTAAAAAAACAAGAATAAAATTTAAAGTTCTACAGGACTTAAAAGAAAGAGGAGGAATGGGCTTACCAAATGTTTTATTATATTATAAGGCTTCGACATTGAGCTGGATAAAGGAATGGATTATGCTGGAAGATCAAAGACTTTTAAAATTAGAAGGACATGATTTAAAATTAGGATGGCATGCATATATATGGTACAGCAAGGATAAAGATCAAACAACTTTTTTTGATCATACGGTAAGGAAAGCATTATACCAGGCATGGCAAAGATTTCGGGAACAAATGTATAAAAAATCCCTATCTGTGTAGCAAGGCTGGAAGCTTTTACACAACCCTCTTTAATGACAGAAGAATGAAGATATACGTATAAAGAATGATTAACCAAAGAACAATAATTAAAAAAAAATACAAGATTTGAATGAACTGAGTTTACAAACAGACTGGTAGGCAAGGCTAAAATTAGAATCAAGGTTTAAAAAAGATAAAGCACTGGGCTTTTATGAGGGGAAGGTACGGGTGGATGAATTATGGATTTATACTAGTGAGAAAATTATACAAAAGTGTATACTTTTCTGTTAGAATATAGCAAAGATTTTGACATGTCCCATGATAATCTGATTTGCACGGTAAATACATGTCAGCTGGGTCACCTTATCTCTAGGAAGAGCAATGGGATATATTTACATCTCTTTCCTTTTGTCTGACACAAAAGGATCCATTACACAGAAAGATAACTAAAATTTTATAAAGAGCAATGAACAGCAAAGGGAAGATTAATTGAAAGTTTATACTACGATAATCTTGTTTTTGCTGCATGGGAATTTCTTGGAACACGATGGTTTTAGTGACTATCTTTTAATCTGTTTTTCAACGTGCTGTATCTGATCTGTGTGAGGTAGTCCTCTGCATTTTGTTGACTGGACCAAGAAACTTGCTGAATCAGTACAACAGCTTCCCCAGGTCAAAATATTTTCATTCAGTCGACTTAATTCCTGAAAATGCTACGGAGGAACAAATAAACAAACCACTTCATTTTGCAAATAAAGGAAAAGGTGGAGATTAAAACCTCAAAAGGTAGAAGCAGCATTCTGCAGAGCTAACAGAACGCTGTTTAATTTCCTGTGTCTACGGAGTGAGTAAAGTAATTTGGGAGCACGAATCTCACAAATAACTGACTAATTAAATCCCCAAGCAGGAAAAGATATCCCAAAACTAGCTGAGGAGTCATCAAAGGGATAAAATGGGAAGAGTATTGAAGGCTTTGTCACGTAGAGCAATGCCACCCGAATCGTTCATCTCTCTTGGAGGATGTCTCTTAGTTCTCGCAAGGGTTTGAGGGTCAACGTTCACATGTTCAGTTTTGGCTGTCTGACACAGACATTGTTGCTGAAGTTGAACACTCTCTGTGGGACAGTGTGAGGCAAAATCTATGGGGAAACAGACAGCTGGTTTTCCTACGAGAGGGCCATAAAGACTAAATACAGTGGTGCCTCACAGAGCGAGGTTAATCCGTTCCAGATTAACCTTCGCTATGCTGAAGCATCGCTGAACGGGGCAGCGATTTCCATTGGAACGCATTAAACATCGTTTAATGTGTTCCAAATAGGCCAAATACTCACCGTTCAGCGAAGCTTCAGGATGGCCGGCAGCCATTTTCGCGCCCTCGCCTCGCTTAACGAGGGCGCGAAAATGCTGCGCGTGGCCATTTTGGGCCATTTCCCGGCTTCCAGCGGCCATTTTGGCCACCGAACAGCTGATCGTCGGGGTTCGTTTTGCGAAGATCGGTAAGCGAAACGCTTACCGGTCTTCGCAAAGCGAATTTTTCCCCATTAAAAAAACATTCAGCGATCGCATTAGCGATCCGAAAAAACGGATCGCTATGCGATTTCATCGTTATACGGTGCGCTCGTTAAGCGAGGCACCACTGTAATATCATGCATCTCAACATGTATGAATAGTCGGTGTATAGAATTTTTAACTGCCCAAAAGTTGGTTGCAACTTATACCTCATTTCAGTGATTATTCAAGTCGTTGAAGGAAGGTTTAAAGCTCTCCGAAAGGCTCATAATATCCGCGAGATTTCCACCAGATCATTTGAAGGCAACGTGTTCTTGAACATTTTGTTCACCACCCCGATGAATTCTGGTTGAACATTTCAGAAATTTGCAGGACCAGAACTTGGGAGTGGGCGACACACACCTGTAGCGTCTTGGTTTGTAAATTACAATAAATCCCCTTTTTGGAATTGAAGGATGAAAGGGCGGAAGAGTGAAGGGTGCAGGAGATGGGGTTGAACCTGAAGTGTTCAGGGTGAGAAATTAGCCTTAGATTGGGAGAAAGATTCTAATCGTTGGAGGATTATTGAAGCTTGCAGGTGCCCGGAAAGCCCCATGAAATTCATGGACGTTGAACTCCTTACATCTCCAGACGCTTCGTTTCACAGGCACACCCTCAAACCATGGCTGACTGTGGACCAGCATGTGCCATCTCATCCCTTAGTTCCAGTCGTACTGCTGGATTTGAATCAAGGGTCTCCAGAACCTTGGAGGTCTCAGCTAGGGTGACCTCAGTTAAGGAGTTGGTGATCTCGTTGAGT